GTCACTCCTTCCTGAAGCGCTGGGCCCTGGTTTGCTTTTGCTTCTCCTCCTGCCTCACTGGTTGCTCCTTTTAGTTTCCTTAGCTGCTGTTTCCTCATCTTGATCGCTAAATATTTGGGTGTCCCTCAGTCCTTAGACTTCTTTTATCTCTACTTACTTGCTGGGTGATTTCCTCTTGCCCCATGGCTTGAAATCCCATTAGTCCCCTGACTCCAAGTTTATACATCCAGCCTGGGCCTGTCCTCCAGATCCAGCTGCCTAAACGTCTCTGCTCGGTCTCTAATAGGTATCTCAAACATGACCAACCCAAACTCCTGCACCCCAACCCCTGCCAAAACCCGACCTCCCTGTGGTCTTTGTCGCCTCCATAACTGCTCATTCCATTCTTCCACTTGCAAGCACATCTGAGCCCTCTCTCTTTCACACAGTGTCGGCAAAATCTTCGGAAAAGATCCTGAGACCAACCACTTCTCACCGCTTTTGCTTCTGCGAGCCACCAGCATCTATTTCCCCTCTCATTGATTGCTGTGGTCTCTTAACTGCTTTCTCTCTCGTCCCCCCAGATTGTTAGTCGCTTTATTAGACCTGCTTTTTCAAAAGCATTCAAACTCTTCACCACATGACAAGCATCCAGCATGGGCCTTTAATGCTTAACTCCTGTCACTTCTCTGCTTTCTCCCTGGGAGTTAGTGCCCAAGGCGCAGAAGGGGCTTGGAGGCCCTCTGGCCTTCCTCCTGCCCCTCTTACCCCCTGCTCGGCTCCAGCCATCCTGGGCTCCGTGCTGGTCCTCGGACACACCAGCTGCTTTGCTCCCTTGGCTTTGTTCTCGCTCTTTGCCTGGTGCACGCTCCCCAGTGCTGCCCCGCTTTTCCCCAGGCCCGCCCTGGCTCCACCTGAAACACTCCCTGCCACTTAGAAACTGCTTCATTTTCTCCAGGGTGCTGCCATTTATTTGTTCGTTTGTTGTTTCCCAGAGCTTTCTTCATTAGCATATAGGCACAGATGAGGGTTAGAAACCTTATTTGCTGTATCCTCAGTGCCTGGAATAGTGTCTGGAATGTAGTAGATGTCTAATAATTTTCATGATTTTTTTTTTTTTTTTTTTTTTTTTTGCGGTACACGGGCCTCTCTCTGTTGTGGCCTCTCCCGTTGTGGGGCACAGGCTCTGGACGCGCAGGCTCAGCGGCCATGGCTCACGGGCCCAGCCGCTCCGCGGCAGGTGGGATCCTCCCGGACCGGGGCACGAACCCGTGTCCCCTGCATCTGCAGGCGGACTCTCAACCACGGCGCCACAAGGGAAGCCCTCATGATATTTTTATATTGGGAAATCAGATCAGAGAAAGATTTGTAGCTGTTAGGCCATTTAAGGAGTCGCCAGTACTCCTTTCTTGAAAATTGTTTTTCTGCCAATTTTGGAATGAATTTGAGTTAATTTTAACTTCTAGATATAGTCAGTGGCCAGTTAGCTCGGATACGTCCACCAGGCCACGACCATGGTAGTGTTTCCATGTGAGCCAGCTGGGTTCCAAGCCAGAGAGACTGCACCCTTGCTCTGTTGGGAGGGGGAGCTCTGGGGGAGCCACCCAATGTCTTCAGCTCCTGTTTCTCCTACTAAAATATCCACTTGTGTTAGCTTTTGAAATTCCATCTCCACCTTTAATGTGTAAGTGTTCTTCCAGCTCGTAGTCTTACGGGAATGATCATGCCAACAGCAGATCCTGCACTCATGAGGGCAGAACAAACAGTGACCTGATGAAGAGTAGAGTATATGTTCGTTTTGAGCTAAAATAGCTATAAATAGCCCCCAATTTCTGATAGCTTTACTAGAACTGCTTTTACAAAATACTCATTGTGAGCTTAAGTCTTGCCTTAATGATAGCTGTTGTTATCTGGATGAGTGGAGAGTATTGGTGCCTCTGCTAGGATACATCCAGACATACAGTGTGTTCATACTAGTGAAATTCAGCCACGTCTTGTGATTGACAGTGCTTGTTATGCTATGGTACCTTAAGTTCAAACAAAATAATATCAGTTGACTGCAATATAAATGAGACCCAGGGTTAGGAATTTGCTCCATTTTGGATCATTAACCCACATTTAATTGAAATGATGTGTAAGTTAGAGTGGATCTCAGTCTGTGTTCCACACTGTGTTCTAGTACACAGTAGCTAGAGTATACTACTAAAATGATTTATTGGTGAACTTTTCCAAATTCTTGGTAGAACGTAGGTTGATAGGTATAATTTCCTCAAATTAAAAATTTTTATTCCATACTTCTTAAAATTTCGGTATTTGCTCTTTGCCCTAACAGACGAACAAATGAATGAATAAGTAACTTAGAACAATAGTTCTGACACTGGAAAACTAGTGTCAGAATCACCTGGAGGGCTTATTAAAACACAGATTGCTGGGCCTCTTCCCAGGTTTTCCACTTTTTATCTTTGAGTAGGAAGCTTGGTTGCGACTTAAGGATTCTCTGGAGAGGTGACTTGCTCTTTTGTCTCTTAATTCTGTCTAAAGCCACATTGCTCTTTTCTGTTCCGTATAGTTACATTTTATGTGTTAAGCATTGAGGAGTATTAGGGCTCCACAGTCTTAAAAACACATTCTTCCATCATTATCTGTAAGTTGTATGTTATATGTGGGCGTTCTTGAGATGAATTTCCTAAAGGACGCAAAGCACTTTACCACCTTCTTGTTCTTTTTCTCTGGAGGTGCAGAGTCGGGGGTGAACCAGAAAGCATAGTGGCAGGTAGTAGGGAGGTTGATGGCGGTGATGGCTGATTCCTGCCATGTCTTGCCTGTGCCAGAGCTGCTCCAGCCGCCTGTGACAGCACAAGCATCTTGAGGAAGAAGAGAATTTGAAGAGGTCAGGTTATAATTTATAGTTTAAAAATAGTACAAAAGTGGCAGCTCCTTTGAGGTGGTTTAGACCACAACCTAATTTATTTATTCTTTCGTAAGTTGAGTGCCTTTGATCTACTTTTTGCTGTACTAGAGAAAAGAAAAATAAGTTCCTGACCTCAGGAGCTCTCAGTCCATTAAAGAGGCAGACAGGCCTTCACTATATGGTGACATAAGGGCTTTTACCCAGGTTTTTTTTTTTTGGCTGTGTTGGATCTTCGTTGCTATACGTGGGCTTTCTCTAGTTGCAGCGAGCGGGGGCTACTCTTCGTTGCGGTGCCCAGGCTTCTCATTGTGGTGGCTTCTCTTGTTGTGGAGCATGGGCTCTTGGCACACGGGCTTCAGTAGTTGTGGCACGCAGGCTCTAGAGCGCAGGCTTAGTAGTTGTGGCACACGGGCTTAGTTGCTCCATGGCATGTGGGATCTTCCCGGACCAGGGCTCGAACCCGTGTCCCCTACATTGACAGGTGGATTCTTAACCACTGTGCCACCAGGGAAGTCCCTCACCTAGTTTTATAGTAGGGGTGTCCACCTGGATTTGGCAGTGAGGGTCAAGGAAGACTTCCTGGAACATGAAGGAATTCGCCAATCAAAACGACAGGTTGTCTAGGTATAAATATAAGATATTTGATCATCAATAGGGGGTCTTCTGTTTAATTTGATAAAGTATTAGTTGAAAAATATTTAGCTTAGAACTGATGTATCAATATTTTACTTGCCCTTTCCTATTATTTGTAGCAGCATTTTTCTGGGTGTAGTGAAACCTACAAGAAGAATCAAAAGGTAGGCACAATAAAAGTTGAATACTAATTGAATTTTAATAGTGAAGGAACCAAGAGAAAATTACATGTTCACGTTTTTACCTAAGCATGTTGCTCTCACCCACATTTTACCTCACTGTGAATTCACACAAAATTCCTGTGACATGAAAGAGACTGGAGGTCAAGTAAAAATTAATATTTTGTATTTGTGTTGGGTATCATTAAAGGCATCTCCAGGTATACATTTCTGGGAGTACTTCAGAATAATTTATCATGTGTACTTTTCTGTGTGTTTGGAAAAAGTGAGGGAAAATGAGCTCTGTCTGGTGTGGTGAGATGAGAGGCCCTTGGGCAGCAACGCCTGGTTCTCCTCTGGCTGCGGCTGCAGGCTGATTGTGTGGCATTGGGCGTGCTGCCTCAGCTCCATCTGCAAAGTGAAAGAGTTATGCTAGAATCTTAGAGCTCCTTTAGCCCTCAAGTTCTGTTTTTACACTTTCTTATCCTAGAGCCTTTTTAGCCTGACTTACACTAAAGCATAATTCCATAATGAGGTGATGTCATGGACATCCTTTCTCATTCCATTACCAACAAATGTAATCTATTATACCTTCACTTCCAAAGGTCCTTATAAATTACAAACATTTCTCACTATCCAAGACATTTTGTTCCCAAATTCAGCTAATTAAAATTCAGATAGTGAGGGATACCACTACACTAGCAAATACAATAATCTCAATTTTTGTTGCCGTCGTAAAAGAATGCTAAGGCAGGTATTTCATGATGGGCAATACTTTGATATTCGAATGTTGGTCCCTTAAATATCCTGAATCCTGACTTCAAACTAACAGCAGCAAAAGGATGTGACAAAGCTGTTGTGGACAAAGCTTAACTGAGATACCTTTTCTTCAGCTCCTCAGAAGAGAAGAGAGAACTTCCTTGTTTCCTCACAGAGTTAATAGAATGTTACCAAAACGTGTAATTTGAGCAGGTTATTGAGCTATATACCTAGGTATCTGGGTAATAAGAAGCAAAGATGATTCTTACTGGCAACTGAGAGAGATAAATATTTATTGAGCACTTACTAGTTACCCGTCGCTCTTCAAAGCACAAGCAATGAGCAAGGCAGAACGAGTCCCTCCTCAGTGTGGGGGCACCGTAGACCTCAGCGTGACGCGGGATGGAGGGGGAGCCAAGGTAGTCTGTGAAGAGCGGAAACACTAATTGCTAAGTGACTTTGAATACTCTGAAAGTGTCTCAGGGGTGTGTGTAGCATATGGTCTTTTATGTATTTACCTCCCCATTTTGTTTTGTTTTTTCATGTTTTGTTTCTGTTAGGAGAGAACATTGAAATTATTCTCTAAGCTATTTGAAGAGAGTGACTAAATGCACCTGGGTCAGGCTCTCTGTGGGTATGAAGTGGTTGGGAGAATCCAAGAACATGGTGTTGAATGGCAGGAGAAATGGAGGCAAGTTGTCTAATGACCATCATCAGAATCAATCAAAATTACAGCACACGGGAAAGGACACCGTGAAGGCTGGCAAGAACGCAGCCGAGAGGAGGTCAAGCAGATGTATGTACATACTTCAACTGTCACTCTCTTGATTGTGATATGGGGCAGTAATTCTTTCCACTTTGTAATGTGTATTCTGTTCTCTGTTGTTTTCAAAACAATTTTTTTATGTTCTCACAGTTAACAGTATAGTTTTTTTACTCTTTCAAAGTTATATCAACTTTTATTCTCATCGAACATTGTATACAACTCAAGTTTAATTCTTAATATAATATTTTTATATGCATAACTTTATATTTTGTAGAATTTATAACTGAATGGTTATTTGTTCTATTAAAAATATTAAAGTACTGCTATTAAATTTCTTTTAAGTTCAAACTGTGTTTTTTTATATTTGATGTAAGTTTATGTATTTTTTAAAAAACTTACAGGGTAATATGAATGATAAAGTCAACCCTAATTTACATGATAAGTGGAAGTTAGGGCAGCTTTTCAAATTGTCACCATTTTTTCTATTTATATAGGGTGAACAGTTTATCCTAACAGAGAAGAAGTATTGATAATGAGTTACTTTTTTACCTCTATATCTCTTGGTGATAATGAGGCTACTTACTGAGAGTTCAAGAAAGTGTAGATTTGATACATGTTTCATAGTTCTTTTAATAGTAGTAAAATGCCCCAGGATAAGTGTAAAGCTAAGTAGGCAGCTATATAAATATTGTCCAAAATTAGATGGCCATGTTAAGGACAACGTTTTCTTCCTTCCTTCCTTCCTTCCTTCCTTCCTTCCTTCCTTCCTTCCTTTCTTTGTCTGTGCCATGCGGCTTGCAGGATCTTAGTTCCCCGACCAGGGATTGAACCCGCTCCCTTGGCGGTGAGAGCGTGGAGTCCTAACCACTGGACCGCCAGGGAAGTCCCAGACAACTTTTTATATTTCTTCTTTTCCTAAGGTTAATTTAGCCACAACTAAATAGCCTTAGTTTGTGTTGGAATTGGCCTACTTCCGGTAGATTTGGATCGATTAGCCTGGCATTTGCTACAGTTTCAGATAGAGTGCACCAGTTCTGATCTCATTTCCTTCTTACCTTTTATGGGTCTATGCTATTCACTGGGCCCAGGCTGCCCTTAACTTTTCCATATCAGATCAGGTCACTGTTTCTGTTTAAAAAAACCAAAAATCAAACAAACCAAATAAACTAGACACATATCCCTGCTTGCGATAGGGGTGAGGAGAGAGCCCAAGACTAATGGGTTTGCCTCTACCTGGACACCTCCTCACCCCCTTAGCATGTGGTGGGAACCTGAAGGAACTGAGAAGTGTAGTGATTCTGGCAGTGGTATTGGCTCTGGTCAGTAAATTAGGCATCTCTTAAATGTTTCTTTTTTTTTTTTTTTTTTTTTTTTCCAAATTGCTGTTGGCCTCCTTTTTGGGCATCAGTGCAAAAAGGTCTTAATTAGTTTGGTTGTTGGAGGTACATAAGAATTTAGAAAATGACCATTACATGAGCTACACTTCGCCAAATGTAGACAGATTTGGAGGGATGGGTTGGAAAAACCCAGAGTGTGTGAAGATGAACAGCATCACATTGAATATTATTGGGCACAAATGGTGCAAAAATAGAGCCAATGATGAAGAGAAACAAAGCAGTGCCTCACCTTATATAAACTGCAACGACTTCACCTAACATCAGAGGCGCAGAATACATGAAGCAAAAATTCACAAAATTGAAGGGAGAAATAGATAATTCAACAATAATTTGGAGACTTCAGTTCCCCACTTCCAAAAATGAATAGAACAGCTAAGCAGAAAATCAAGAAGGAAAGAAGACTCAAATAGTCCTATACCAACTCTTCCTAACAGACATCTGTAGAACACTCCACCCAACAGCAGCAGAATACACATTCTTTTCAAGTGCCATGAAACATTATTCAGAATGGACCATAGACTAGGCCATACTTTAAGCCCCTCAATCAGTGTAAAAGGATTGAAATCATACAATATATGTTCTGACCACAGTGGAGTAAAATTAGAAATGAATAACAGAAATTTGGGAAACACAAATGAACTCACTCCTGAATAACCGGTGGGTTAAAGACGAAATCAAAAGGGAAATGAGAAAATACATTGAGATGACTGAAAATGAAGACACAACATACCAAAAACTTACGGGATGCAGCTAAAGCAATGCCTAGAGGGAAATTATGGTTGTGAACGCTTGTATTAAAAAAGAAGAAAGGGGCTTCCCTGGTGGCGCAATGGTTGAGAGTCCGCTTGCCGATGCAGGGGACACGGGTTCGAGCCCCGGTCCGGGAAGATCCCACATGCCGCGGAGAGGCTGCGCCCGTGAGCCATGGCCGCTGAGCCTGCGCGTCCGGAGCCTGTGCTCCGCAACGGGAGAGGCCACAGCAGTGAGAGGCCCGCATACCAGGAAAAAAAAAAAAAAGAAAAGAAAAAAAGAAGAAAGATCTCAATCAATAACCTTTCACCTTTAAAACACCAGAAAAAGAGAGAGAGAGCAAACTAAACCCAAAGTAAGCAGAAGGAAGGAAATAAGAGTAGAAATTAACACAACAGAGAATAGAAAGAGAACAGAGAAAATCAGCAAAGCTAAAAGGTTGGTCCTTTGAAAAGAGCAGCAAGAATTGGCAAACCCTTAAGCAAGACTGATTAGGAAAGAAAGACTCAAGAATCAACCTGGAAAGAGGAGACATTACTGCTGCCTTAGAAAAATGAAAAGGATTGTAACAGAATACTATGAACAACTGTATACCAAGAAGTTAGGTAACTTAGATTAACTGAACAAATTTCTAGAAAGTAATAAATTACTGAAACCGATTTAATAAATCTTATTTGTACAAAATCTGAATAAACCTATAGCAAGTACAAAAGATTGAATTAGTAATTTTAAAAACCAAACAAAACACTACCTATAAAGAAAAGGCCAGTATTATCCTGCTACCAAAACCAAAGACATCATAAGAAAAGAAGACCTATAGACCAATATCTCTAATAAATATAGATGCAAAAATCCTCAATAAAATACTAGCCAACCAAATCCAGCAACAGATGAAAAGAATTCTATAGCATGCCCAAGTGGGATTTATCCCAGGAATGCAAGTTTGGTTTAATATCTGAGAATCAATTGATGTAATACCATATGAATAGAATCAAGGACAAAAACCATACTGTCATCCCAATAGATGCAGAAAAAGCACTTGACAAAATCCAACACCCTTTCAGGATAAAAACAGCAAACTAGGAACAGAAGGGAATTCTTCAACCTGATAAAGCTTAATGTCACATTTAATGGTAAATGGTTTCCCCTAAGATCAGGAACAAGACAGAACTATATTTGTTCTCACCACTTCCATTCAGCATTGTACTAGAAGTTCTGATTACAACCATTAGGCGAGAAAATGAACTTAGAGGCATCCAAATTGGAAAAGAAGAAGTAAAACAATATTTGCAGGTGACATGATTGTGTATATAGAAAATCGTAAGGAATCCACTAAAATATTAGAATAAATGAGTTCAGTAAGGTTGGAGGATACAAGTATACAAAAATCAGTTGTATTTCTATGCACTCTCAGTAAACAATCCAAAAATGAAATTAACAATTTCGTTTACAGGGCATCAAAAAGAAAAAATATTTAGCAATAAATTTAACAATAAAGTATAAAACTTACACTCTGAAAATGATAAAACATTGTTGAAAGAAATTAAAAGAAGATCTAAACAAATGGAAAGGGCTTCCCTGGTGGTACAGCGGTTAAGAATCTGTTTGCCAATGCAGGGGACATGGGTTCGAGCCCTGGTCTGGGAAGATCGCACATGCTGCGGAGCAGCTGAGCCTGTGTGCCACAACTACTGAGCCTGCGCTCCAGAGCCCGTGAGCCACAACTACTGAAGCCCACGTGCCTAGAGCCTGTGCTCCGCGACAAGAGAAGCCACCGCAATGAGAAGCCCACGCACCGCAACAAAGAGTAGCCCCCCGCTTGCCGCAGCTAGAGAAAGCCCTCATGCAGTAATGGAGACCCAACACAGCCAAAAATAAATAAAAAATACATAAATCGAAAGAAAAATAAATAAATGGAAAGACATCCCATGTTCATTGATTAGACGACTTAATATTGTTAAGATGGTAATGCTCCCCAGATGACCTGCAGATTGAATGTAGTCCCTATCAAAATCTCAACTAGTGGGCTTCCCTGGTGGCGCAGTGGTTGAGAGTCCGCCTGCCGATGCAGGGGACACGGGTTCGGGCCCCGGTCCGGGAAGATCCCACGTGCCGTGGAGTGGCTGGGCCCGTGAGCCACGGCCGCTGAGCCTGGGCGTCTGGAGCCTGTGCTCCGCAGCGGGAGAGGCCACAACAGTGAGAGGCCCACGTACCACAAAAAACAAAGAAACAAAAAAACAAAACAAACCAAAAAAAATCTCAACTAGCTTCTTTGCAGAAATTGACAGGCTGATCCTAAAAGTCTTATGGAAATTCAGGGGATCCAGAATAGCTAAAACAGTCTTGAAAAAGAACAATGTGGAAGATTCATACTTCTTGGTTCCAAAGCTTACTACAAAGCTGCAGTAATCAAGACAGTCTTATACTAGCATGTGGATAGATATATATTCGTGGAATAGAATTGAGAATCCAGAAAGAACCCTCATGTTTGTAGTCAACTGATTTTTGACAAAAGTGCCAATAAAATTGAGGAAAGAATAGTCTTTTCAACAGTTGGGGTTGGCAAAATTGTATATCCACATGCAAAAGAATGAAGTTGGATCCGACCTCACACTGTATGTAAAAAACTCAAAATGGGGCTTCCCTGATGGCGCGGTGGTTGAGAGTCCGCCTGCCGATGCAGGGGACACGGGTTCATGCCCCGGTCTGGGAAGATCCCACAGGCTGCGGAGCGGCTGGGCCCATGAGTCATGGCCGCTGAGCCTGCGCGTCCAGAGCCTGTGCTCTGCAATGGGAGAGACCACAACAGTGAGAGGCCCGCGTACCGCAAAAAGAAAAAAAAAAAAAAAAAAAAAACCTCAAAATGGATCAAAGACCTAAATTAAAAGCTTAAATTATAAAAACCCCCAGAAAAAAACATGCATAAATTTTCATAACTTTGGATTAGGCAGGGGTTTCTTGGATATGACACTAAAAGCACAGGGAACAAAAGAAAAAAAAAAAGTACATGAAATTTACCAAAGTTGCAAACTTTAAGCGTTACCATCTAGAACGTGGAAAGACAGCTTACAGAACAGAAAATATTTTCAAATCACATATCTGATAAAGGACTAGTATCCAGAATAAAGAACTCTTACAAGTCAATAATAATAAACTCCAGGGCTTCCCTGGTGGCGCAGTGGTTGAGAGTCTGCCTCCAGATGCAGGGGACACGGGTTCGTGCCCCGGTCCAGGAAGATCCCACATGCCACGGAGTGGCTGGGCCCGTGAGCCATGGCCGCTGAGCCTACGCGTCTGGAGCCTGTGCTCTGCAACGGGAGAGGCCACAACAGTGAGAGGCCCGCGTACCGCAAAAAAAAAAAAAAAAAAAAGACAAACTCCCATTTTTAAATGCGCAAGGGATCTGAATAGACAGACATTTCTCCAGAGATAGACAAATGGCCAATACATGAAAAGATGCTCAAAATCATTAGTGATCAGAGAAAATCAAATCAAAACCACCACTTCACAATCACTAGAATGTCTGAAATCAAAAGGGCAAATAGTAACAAGTGTTGGTGGTGATGTGGAGAATTTACATACACTATGTTTTGGGAACATAAAATGGTGCAGCCAAATGTGGTCCTACCCACACAGTGGGATGCTATTTGGCCAGAATAAGGAATGAGGTACTGCTGCATGGTACAATGTGGATGAACCGTGAAAACATGCTAACTGAAAGAAGCCAGTCACAAAAAAGCACGTATGATTCCACCCATATGAAATTGTCAGACTAGGCAAATCCCTAGAAACAGAGTAGATTAGTGGTGGCCAGGGTCTGTGGGGGAGGGAGAAATGGATAGTAACTTCCAGTAGGTATGGGGTTTCTTTTGGGGCTGATGAAAATGTGCCAGAATTGATTGTGGTATGGTTACACAATTCTGTGAATATACTTAAAACCATTGAATTGTACACTTTAAATGGGTGAACTGTATAGTATGTGAATTAAATGTTAATAAAGCTGTTATAGAAAATATAACAACTTTGGTAGTTTTATACATACCTATGTGCAAATAATGTGATTCAAAATCATATACTGACCCTTTGTCAGGGACTTACATGTAAGTGTTTATTTCTTTATTGGAACAGTAGGTGAAAAGGTTAGACGTCTCACTTTGTCACTCATTCTTCCACCTCTTAATTTTGAGAGGCTTAAAGTTATACTGCTGGTATCCTCTGTAATTGCATGTGCTGACTCCATGAAGACCCTCAGTGACGTATACATCAAACGTGAATCAGCACTGATGAAACTTCATCCATACAAATTTGGCCTTGCTTTCCTCTCTTTACATTGTTTTTCTTCCACAGTTAAACCCAGTTACTTCAGTTATCTTTTTCAGTCACTTCCCTATTTTTATCCATTCCTTCAAAATCTGTTTCAAACAGGTGTTAGAAATAGGCCTATCAGTCTCTCTGTATTTCTTTCCCCTCTTCTCCTACCTAGCTTTGTAATCACAAGCAAGTTTCTTAACCTCTGGGCCTGAGTTTCCAGCAAAGTGGGGATGATAATCACACATCTGCCCACAAGCAGGAAGTTGAAGGTAACGCCTGGAGACTCCGTTTTGGTTCTTGAGATTTAGCCTTCTGGCGCTTACTGCAGAGGGTATCTTGTGTTGCTCTTGTTTCCTTCTCATGCCGGCCCTGTCTGTAGTGGCCCTTTGTGCTGTCTTGCTACTGTGATGAACATCTGCCCATCTCCTGTGTCTCACCTCTTCCTTGGAGAGGCAAGTAAGGCATCTGAGCCAGAGTCTCACAACTATCCAGACACTGTTCTTGGGAAACCTGATAATAATATCTAACAAAAATGCTCTCAATAACTGGGTTAATTTACTGCATTTGGTTTTCTGTTTTTGCAAAGGGTACTCAATTCTTAAGTAGTAAAACTGATAGAAATAAGCAATTTCAATTCTTAATGACTGACTTGAATGGGCAGTGAAGCTAAAGGTTTTTAAGGTAGATTTAAGTAGTACTCAGTGCGAGTTAATTTCTCTTCTTTTTTCTTCTCACAGGTAATGGTAATTCAGGATTCGAAGGACAGAGTCGATATGTACCATCTTCTGGAATGTCTGCCAAGGAACTCTGTGAAAATGATGACTTAGCAACCAGTTTGGTTCTTGATCCCTATTTAGGTTTTCAAACACACAAAATGAATACTAGGTAATTTTGTCTTTATCCTGAGTGGAACAGATGATATCGTTGAACTTAAGAAAATAGATGGCTAATTTTACTTTCAGTCAAAATTTAAAATGACATTAAAGGAAAGGTTTTGCTGCAGGAGGATTTTCCATGTGTGAGTCAAGAAAAGCAACATAAGCTTCCACGAGTTGTCAGTTTTAATTCCGTGTTCTTATTTTATCCTGGGATACTTCTATTAAAATACAGAGTTGGAGAGGCATCTCCATATTCTGTTTTAAATGTTGATGAGAATTACCTGAAAGAAATATATGCATCCTGTAAAACCTTGAAAATGTGTATGATTTTTTTCTACCTAAATTAGGTTGCATCCGTTTTTTTCATGATTTTATTACAAACTTTTATTCTTTCAAATACTTTCCACTGTGTATAGGGAATTTTACCATTATGGGTTTTTTTAACATCTTTATTGGAGTATAATCGCTTTACAATGGTGTGTTAGTTTCTGCTTTATAACAAAATGGATCAGCTATACATATACATATGTTCCCATATCTCTTCCCTCTTGCATCTCCCTCCCTCCCACCGTCCCTATCCCATTTTTGCCATTATGTTTTGTCTTTGAGACTCAGCTAGTCATTATAAATTAGAGGATATTTTTAAAGACGTGGTTATATTCAGTATGCAGGTAAGAAAATAGATGTGTAACCACTTTATTGAGTATCAAATGCCATCTATATAAAATACTACATAGCTCTTGAAATCTGTGACCCTTTAAATTTCTTTATTCTAATTCTCTTAAACATCATCTCGCTCTCAAAAAGGCCTTTAGATAATTTCATAATTAACTGCCACCAAGCACTAAATCAGAACTTTACAACTTTTTGTTACATCTGAACTTCCATGGCAAAGGCTTTTGGGTGATAGAGAAGCCTGGCATCGGGGCTTTAGAATGTGGAACGAGTTCTGGACCGCTGCTCGCTCTCACCGTAGCCGCAGGGCCAGCCACTGCCCTCGAGGCCCTGGCCACCGGCGGGGTAGAGTCGCCAGTAATTAACTGGGGGCAGGTGATTAGAGGAGAATCGTGTGTCCGTTTTTTCCTATTTTAATTCTGTCCCTTGCTAGAATTAAAACAAGATAATTCGTTTATCAATTATATTCTAAATCCCAAAAGAAGTAATTCAGGTTAAAACTTGCCTTTGGTATTTTCATGTAGTTTCCTGTCATCATATATCTTTACTTACTAAAACGAAGTGAAAGTTGGAATGGACTTGAGACATTATTTAAATAGTTCCCTGCCGTCAGAGGGACACATACTTAAATTTTCTACATAGGCAAAAGGATGGCTGTTCTCTGGAAAATCAGCAGAATTGGATGCCGTAGTGTCCAACCAGAAATCTAGTTTGCATTATTTTAAGCCCACATCCTCTATTTCCCAGTGAACCCAAGAGACCAGGGCTCATTCTCCTACTCTTAGGGTCCTAATAGTATTTAACTCACCTGTTAGCCTCTTTTTTTCCGAGGTAAGAAATGTGATTCACTGTTTTACACAACAGTCTAGTGGCATTCAGAATATTACACAAAGGCCCATAATTATGGCCTGGAGTCATCATTGAAACAGATTCTGTTCGTTATGCCTTGTATACTGAAACATGGAAGCAAATAAACCATTTTTTAAAGTTTTCCATCAAAATTACAACAAAAGTTGTAGCGGCTTGGGGAAGAACTCCATGTATTCAGAAGCCCCCATGCTTTGACTCTTCCAGAGGATGAAGAGTTACCTGTTACTGGGTTCTGCGACAGTAAATAACTCATGTTTTCTAAAGTCCTCCTTGACAACTGCTTCTTTTAATTAGTTTACATATGAGTCACTTGGGGAATCTTAAGATGCAGGTTCTGATTCAATAACTGTGAGGTGGGGCCTGAGAGTCTCCATTTCTGACATGCTCCCAATTACAGTTGGGAAGCAAGGTCTTAAACCGTCTAGCCTACTGAGCCTTGTCCCGATGTGATAAATGGATAGCAAGTTCCTTATCAGTCGTTTTCTAGGGCTCACTTTAAAACATGTAATCCTAAAATGTCAAGTTCAGGTTTATCACACAGATACTGTTAAAACTTAAGACCTTACCATATCAAGGTACCTCTAAATTCATATTTTCCAGTGCAACATTTAATCCTATTCAAACACTTCCTAAAATAGCCGTTCATGGTGTAGATAATGCTACTGCTCCCTGGTTAGACCACGTTGGCTTTGTAACAGTGTCGGCACTTAGGCCAGTGCGGTTGAGTAGTTGATGTTGCTGTGTCAAAGCACGGTGTGCTCTCCGCCTTTCAGCAGAGGCATTCATTCCAGAGGTATTTTAACAGACTCTCGTAAGCTGCCATTTGGGGAATATACAGAATTTTTATTAATGAAGCTTGTTAATCTTAATGAAAGGTATGTACATTTTCATTTAATCTTAGTGGATTTATTTGAAAATTATTACTTAATAGTTCTTCTGAGCAAGAATTTACCAGAATGTCACTTACCCCATTTTCAAAGATATTTTATAGACAATAAGGAAAATCTATAGTGCTTTATTTGAATAACCATAAATATTTCTTAAATTATTAGCTTTTTGTGGACTTCTCTTTCTTTGGGGTGCAAAAGAAGTGACTGGAGGACGTGATTGGAGCTTTGGGTTTTAATTCTCCAAACTGTCCGTCTGTTACTTATATAAGTGGTCTCTTTGTTCTCATGTTTATACATCTGTGATTTGAACTTAGTTTCTCTTTTTTTATGCCCTCCTCCTCCTTTCTACTTATTTCAGTTGTACCTTCAGGAATACTGTTCAGAAACAGTAGATATTTAATTATTTGGCTATATTATGAATTGCTTATGTTTTTACTCTTAACATATCCCTGTATTTACTAAGAAGGCAGTCAGAGTTGTGGCATGAATGCCTAGAAAAAACATAAGCAAAATATTCATTTCAATTGATTGGGAAATATTTCAATTTAGTTGACTTTTGTCAGTTATGAAACTTAAGTTCTTCCTTTTAACCAGAGAATAGAGTTGTTAGTAATTTTTTTTAAAAAAGCTAGTGGAGAGATGAATGTAGCGAAGCAGGAA